TTGAATTTCTGTGGAATCTGTGGTGATTTCCTCTTTATTGTTTTTTTATTGCATCTATTTGGTTGTTCTCTTTTTTCTTTTTTATCAGTCGTGCTAGTGGTCTATTTTGTTGATCTTTTCAAAAAACCAGCTCTTGGATTTATTGATTTTTTTGAAGTGTTTTTCGTGTCTCTGTCTCCTTCAGTATTGCTCTGATCTTAGTTATTTCTTGTCTTCTGCTAGGTTTTGAGTTTTTTTGATCTTGCTCCTCTAGCTCTTTCAATTTTGATGATAGGGTGTCAATTTTGGATCTCTCCACTCTTCTTATGTGGGCACTTATTGCTATATATTTTCCTCTAGAGACTGCTTTAAATGTGTCCCAGAGATTCTGGCATGTTGTGTCTTCATTCTCATTGGTTTCGAAGAACTTCTTTATTTCTGCCTTCATTTCATTGTTTATCCAATCAACATTCAAGAGCCGGTTGTTGAGTTTCCATGACTCTGTGCGGTCTGAGTTGGTTTCTGAACTCTGAGTTCTAACTTGATTGCACTATGGTCTGAGAGACTGTTTGTTATGATTTCAGTTGTATTGCATTTGCTGAGGAGTGCTTTACTTCCTACTATGTGTCAATTTTAGAGTAAGTGTGATGTGGTGCTGAGAAGAATGTATATTCTGTGGATTCGGGGTGGAGAGTTCTGTAAATATCTATCAGGTTTGCTTGTTCCAGATCTGAGTTCAAGTCCTGGATATCCTTGTTAATTTTCTTCTGGTTGATCTGTCTAATATTGACAGTGGAGTGTTAAAGTCTCCCACTATTACTGTGTGGGAGTCTAAGTCTCTTTGTAAGTCATTAAGAACTTGCCTTTTATATTTGGGTGCTCCTGTATTGGGTCCATATATATTTAGGATCGTTAGCTCTTCTTGTTGTATTGATCCTTTTACCATTATGTAATGACCTTCTTTGTCTCTTTTGATCTTTGTTGCTTAAAAGTCTATTTTATCAGGGATGAGAATTGCAACTCCTTTTTATTTTTCTCTTCATTTGCTTGGTAAATCTTCCTCCTTCCCTTTATTTTGAGCCTTTGTGTATCCTTGCATGTGAGATGGGTTTCCTGGATACAGCACACTGATGGGTTTTGGATTTTTATCCTATTTGCCAGTCTGTGTCTTTTGATTGGTGCATTTAGCCCATTTACATTTAGGGTTAATATTGTTATGTGTGAATTTGATGCTGCCATTTTGATGCTAGCTGGCTGTTTTGCTCATTAATTGATGCAGATTCTTCTTTTTGTTGATGCTCTTTAGCAATTGGTATGTTTTTGGAGTGGCTGGTACTGGTTGTTTCTTTCTATGTGTAGTGCCTCTTTCAGGAGCTCTTGTAAAGCAGGCCTGGTGGTGACAAAATCTCTGAGTACTTGCTTGTTCGCAAAGGATTTTATTTTTCCTTCAGTTATGAAGCTCAGTTTGGCTGGATATGAGATTCTGGGTTGAAAGTTCATTTCTTTAAGGATGTTGAATATTAGCCCCCACTCTCTTCTGGCTTGTAGAGTTTCTACCAAGAGATCTGCTGTGAGTCTGATGGGCTTCCCTTTGTGGGTGACCTGACCTTTCTTTCTGCCTGCTCTTTGTATTTTCTCCTTCATTTCAACCCTGGTGAATCTGACGATTATATGCCTTGGGGTTGCTCTTCTTGCGGAATATCTTTGTGGTGTTCTCTGTATTTCCTGGACTTTAATATTGGCCTGCCTTGCTAGGTTGGGGAAATTTTCCTGGATAATATCCTGAAGATTATTTTTCAGCTTGGATTCATTCTCTTTGTCACATTCTGGTACACCTATCAAACGTAGGTTAGGTCTCTTCACATAGTCCCACATTTCTTGGAGACTTTTTTCATTCCTTTTTGTGCTTTTTCTCTAATTTCATTGAGTTGATCTTCGACTTCTGATATCCTTTCTTCTGCTTGGTCCATTCGGCTGTTGAAATTTGTGCATGCTTCACGAAGTTCTCGTGTTGTGTTTTTCAGATCCTTCAATTCATTCATATTCCTCTCTAAGTTGTCCATTCTTGTTATCATTTCCTCGAATCTTTTTTCAAGGTTCTTAGTTTCTTTGCATTGATTTAGAACATGTTCTTTTAGCTCACAGAAGTTTCTCATTATCCACCTTCTGAAGTCTGATTCCATCATTTCGTCACACTCATTCTCCATCCAGCTTTTTTTCTTGCTGGTGAGGCGTTTTGGTCTTTTGTAGGAGGCGAGGTGTTTTGGTTTTGGGTGTTTTCCTCCTTTTTGCGCTGGTTTCTTTCCATCTTTGTGGATTTATCCACCTGTCGTCTGAGTAGTTGCTGGCTTTTCGATTGGGTCTCTGAGTGTATGCCCAGATTGTTGATGCTGAAGTATTTCTGTTACTTAAGTTTTTTTTTTTTTTTTAACAGTCTAGCCCCTCTGCTGTAGGACTGCTGAGATCCACTCCAGTCCCTGCTACTGTAGGCTCTGCCCTGCTGCTGTGGGCTTCGCCCTGTTGCTGTGGGCTCCGCCCTTCTGTTTTGGGCTTTGTTCTGTTGCCCGTGGGCTCTGCCCTGCTGTTGTGGGCTCCACCCTCTTAGTGTAGTCTCTCTGTTATGGCGGGTTGCCTTGGCAATGGCAGACTGCGTCAGCAATGGGCGTGTACCTCAGTAGGGTTGGAATGCCTCGGTAGTGGCGGACGCCCCTTCCCCACGGAGCTGCACCTTCCTGTATTCAGCTGTGCCCACAGTGAAACTCTTAACCCTGAGCGTTTCGAATCACCGTTTTGTTTGTCCCTGTGGGGGTGGCACCTGCCGAGCCTGATCACCTGGCTCCCTGCCTCAGAGCCCTTTCTCTCTCTTTCTTTATTTTTTTTAAGTTGAACGAATGACTCTCTCCCAGGTGTTTTAATCGCCTGCTGGTAGGGCACCGGGATCTGTGTGATTTCCCGTGCAGGGACCCACTGCACCGGCTCACATGCCGCTTCCCGGGAATCTCCTCATCTGACTCACTGTCCAAGTCCCGTTTAATCAGATGGATATGCTAATCTGCCCTCCCAAGTCTCAGATTGCAGGTTTAACAGGGCACCTAGATCAGCGCATTTTGTGCAGGGTGCCACTGCACTGTGGTGCCCGAGTAACCCAAGAGGGCTGCGCTGGCTTCCCATGACTCTCCTACACCTGGGAATTTCCCCGTTCTGTGGGCAACAAAAATCCGTCTGGAAATGCAGCTAGGACTAACCCTCTGCGCCTTCAATGAGAGCTGCAATCCCTAGTTGTTCCTACCACGCCATCTTGGAAAACTCCCCTCTATATATTCTTTTAGATGCATTTTGTCATTGTTTTGCAAGTTCAGAACAAATCCCAATAAGATTTGTTTTGAATTCAGGATATTCTGGGTATTACAATATTCTGGTAAGGGGACTAGATTTTAATTTATTCTAAACTTTATGTCCTTTGGCAAACCTTAATTTTTTTCTTTATATACATTTAGTACTTTCCTTGTCAAATTTTTTCTATGTGTTTTATATTTTTCTGGTGATTGTGAATGAAATCTATCTCTAAATGGTCATTACATAAAGCACTGGATTTTTGTTAATGTAATTGTACTTGGGCTATCAGTTTTTATTTTAATTTAAAATTTATTGTAAAACTGGACTTTGCAGTTATACAATAATAAAATCTACATGAAGGATAAATATTACTCTTCAATTAAGATAGTTATGCCCCCATTTTTTTCTATATGATATTGCCTTAATTGAACCTTCAGGAGGTTTAATATGTATATTTATATATACGTATGTATGTGTATGTATATATATACTTCATAATACTTTTCAGCGATATACATTTAGAACCTGCCATTTTGCTAGCCATGAAGGTTATCATATACTTAAGTGCAGTGTTAGATGCTTAATCTGCCATTTCCTATTTCATCTTCAAACTAGTACATGAAGAATGTATTGCTCATTTTATAGCTGAGCAAACTGAGTGCCAGAAAGATTAAGAAACTTGACTGTGCTTGGATAGCTAGAAAATGACAGATCAGGTATTATAACCTACCTCTGGCTTTAAACTACATGTAATACATGGATACTCAGTAAGTATTTTTGGACTGACCAAGCATGCAACTGATTGAATAGACGGATGGCTTCATGAACAAAAGACCTGGGATCAAATAGGACAAAAAGCACAAGAGATAGAAGCAAATTTTAGAAAATCTTTTATAGTTTTGTCCCTAAAAATGAAGAGATGGCGGCAAGAGAGAGAATATGGCTCAGTGGTATTTTTGAGATAGAAAAAAAATGGAATTTAAGGACAAATATCACATGACCTTATTCTTCTCAGTAAGGAAAGAAATAAAGTTGGAGTAAGGAGAATTAAATGATTTAATGAAGGGTTGAAGAGTAAAGACAGGAGAGATGGTTTGAAAAGCTATCATGGGAATGTTATTAGCAGTAAAGAAGATATTAATATAAGGATATCTGAGTAGATATTAGGATCCAGAAGGTGAAGTTTCAGAGTCTTGTTCAGTCTGGGCATCAGTTGGTGGTGCTTTGTCAGTTAACCAGAAATCACATGTTGGCCAAGGAGCTAAACAGAGGTTCAAAGATATTAAGGGGAGAAAGAACTTGAAATATGGGGTGCCCTGTATTATATATCCCTGAATCTGTGAACATATGCTTTGGTCCATTTTAAGCCCTGTTTATCTTTTTCTTTTCTTTTCTTTTTTTAAAAAAGGAATAGAAAAATTTGCCTAATGTACTATAAATAGTATAAAGCGATCTATACTCTTGGTTATTTGATATATATAACAAATAACTATACATATATCTACATATAGTTATTTGTTATATATATGTAGATACATATATATCTACATATATAGGTAGATATATCTATACATATATACACACATATATATCTACATATATACATACATATATGTATATATGTATATAGATATATAGATGTATATATATCTATATGTGTATTTATGTATATACATATACATATATATATATGTTACATAAAAAGTATATTCCAATGTTTACTCTTTTCCAGGAAAAGTAAACATGTAATATGTAACTTTTCCCTATGGTCAATATGATATCTCAATCATTGGCTAGTTAACTTTCAACAGGATTTCTTATCTTGTCTGTCAGTCATTACTGAGTATGTCTGCTAGGTATTTAAGTTAGATTATAGTTCAGTAACACGGAAAAAATTTTAAAATTAAGTAGTGGTATAAAATTTTACTATTATCAATTTACATGTTAATAGCAATGATAGTCTATAATGCTTATATTATTTAAATCAGTATATCTAGTTTCATATTCAATATTTTTATTCTCTGTATTTCAGTTTTTGTGTTAAAGCAGGCTATTATGTTCTGCAAACAATGGGAAGGGTAACAGCAACCTCAAATTAAGAAAAGTCAAAGCAGAATAGATAGTTTTTTCTTTTTTTTTTTTTTCGGAGTCTCCTTCTGTCCCCCAGGCTGGAGTGCAGTGGTGCAATCTTGGCTCATGGCAAGGTCTGCCTCTGTTTCAAGTGATTCTCTTGCCTCAGCATCCAGAGTATCTGGGACTACAGGCACATGCCACCATATCCAGCTTATTTTTTGTATTCTTAGTAGACATGGGGTTTTACCATGTTGGCCAGGATGGTCTCGATCTCCTGACCTTGTGATCCTCCTGCTGCAGCTTCCCAAAGTGCTGGGATTACAGGTGTGAGTCACCATGCCCTGCCATGACTAGGTTTTATGAAGCAACTCCACCTAGGCTATTGATAGAATGGAAACCACATGCCCAACAACACAATATGGCAGAATAAAGAATCAGCGGTTGGAAGATATGGACACTGAGAATGTTCTGATATTTCTGAGGAAATAGCATACTGTCTGCTTAGAAAATTCTCGGAATGTGTCAATTAAGTGAATTAGTCACTTATTCAATTTTCTCCCCCTAATGTATGCCTAGGAAAGATGATTCTGAAATTGTCAGCATGGTAACTATCTGTTGGTCAATTGTGAAGACTACCATGAAACTGGAATTGCGAAATCTACTACCAGTTGACTCTTTCTTGTTTTAGGAGGTTAAAATGTGTCAATCAAAGAGTATGATTAGTGGTTCCTATGTGTATTATTTTTGGTCCTCAATTCACAACAGAGATTATCATTTGCATCTTGGTTTCATTAGAATGTTGCACATATACTCACTTCTAAAGCATGTACATGTTATACAAACCATCTATATTTTAAGATCTTTTATGTTAACTAACATTGTCCTGTACCATAGTTGCTTTAGAAAATATTCACCAGTATTGCCAAAAATGGCATGCCAAAGATACGATGCATTTGTTAGAGGGATTTAAGTTGATTCCTCAACTACTCAGAAAAATATTCCAGCTGTTTAAATCAGAAAAAATCAAACCTAATTTACAAATTAGTGCATCATTTAAACCAAACCATTTTTGGTGCTTTTTACTCAAACAAAATATTTTTGTTTTTCTTGAGTTTTTCTTCTAAGCACTAATTTCTTCAGGCTGTTGTTAATTCACCTAAAAAGCAAATAACTAGCTTTAGCAGAGATTTCAGTAAAGAACTAGCAGATACATTAATGATTAATGATTAAAAAACTAAAATATTTTATAATGATATTATATGTAATTAAGATCTTTGGAAAAAAGTAAATAATACTTATGATGCATTTAAAATTTTTAAATGGACTTAAGCATTAAGAATTGAGCACTAATTTGATATTTATATCAGTTATTATGTAGAAATTACATTTATGTTTTACAAAATATTATGGCTTTATTTTAATAAAATATGGCCACCTTGCTGTTTCAGGTTTATGTTCAGAAATTATGAACTTTTCCTATTCTTTTGAGGCTGTTACTAGCACTTAGAAACATAGTAAGTTATCAATTATTTGGAAGTAATAATTTAAGAAAAAAGTCTTATCAAGTTATAATTAGCTAAGGTAAAAATATGTTACTTTTGTTTTTGAATAATATAAAATAGACTTAAAAGTTTGTTATTAAAAGCTTGATTCTGTAACATTTATATATTGAAAGTATATTTATTTCACACTGATAGTGATGATCTATATCTGAAAATGCATAGTTACATTTTCTTAATATAGAAAGTTTGTTACTCTGCAATAAGAGAAAAAAATATATGTCCTTTGATCACTTTTCAAGATAATAAAGTTTTTGTCTGTTTGGATCATATAAAGCAATAAAAAGAAAAAAGGGATGGGGGTGCCAGGTTTCTTTGACCTTGAATTTGAAAATAAACGGGGCAATACATGATTAAAGACAAAACTTTGGTGATTCAAAATGTCCCATGAATGGTACCATGATGTTTGTGAGCTTTAGCATTTGCATACAATGTGTCCCTTGGTTGGGCTTCATGACCTGTTTTTACTTTTAGCTTTTACATTCCACAGGCCTAAAATTTCAGCAGGGACAGTGCTAATTAATTTATAATGTTGTTTTATGTTTCTGAACAAGGTACCTCGGTAATTAAGTGAAATATTTATGATGAATATAAAACAATGCAAATTTATTTGTTTGCCTGAAAGCTAACCTGTTATTTGTTTAATTGATCTTTTGAAAGATTCTTTAAATTGAATCATAGAATGAGGATGCATGATATTTAAAACAGTGACAGAGGTAATTCTATGAATTGATGCATTAGAATATATTGTTACATTGTAAGTCAGACAAAGGGTAATCATAAAACTTTGACCAAATTGATAAGTTCTTAGTTTCCCTTGAGGAAGAGAATGAACTATAGTGAGAGTGGATCAATAATATATTGCCAAAGGAAAATGTATAACTCACATATACCCTATAGTGCACAATCCAGTCCCCTGGTTTAATATTGTGTGTGTGACATTATAGAAATATAGAAAAGTCATAGCCCTGTTGCTGTTTTCTAATAAACTGCATAACCATTTTTTAATATAATGTATACTTAGTCTGGACTTATCTCCGTCTATATCAAATGACAAGATTGCTCTACTTTTAATGACAGCAAGTAAACTATACTTATTCTCCCAGTGTTGACTGACACAGTTTATGTTGTACTTCATGCAAATAAAATATCTTCATATTCACAGGTAAAGGATTGAAACACTTTCTTTCTTTGGAAACAAGGCCAAGTTTTTATCATCTTTAAGAAACAATAACTTAAAAAATTTGGTTAATACCACTGTCTCTTTTTTATGGTAATGATCATCAAAGTTACAATGAAAATAATGCAGAAACAAAACAAAACAATAAAAACTTTGATGTCAAACTGGAGGAAGAAAAAATTGTTCCAGCCAATGGGTTGCCTCTTTTCAAAGAAAAATAAGTCCTCTGGAGTTGCTAGGTAGGAAATGCACAGTCATACTGACTACTTTTTTCTTCATTATGGGATTATTATACAGTTTCTCACATTATGATACCTAGTATTGGAGCCTGTATGTTGACAGTGAATAGCATGGTATTAGGAATTATATGCTCGCAAATAATAATTAGAGCTTACATTTATTACGTTTATTATGTGTCAGGCACAAATCCTCATCATAATCCTATAGGGGTGAGTATTTTAACTCTGCCAAGGGTAAAATTGAGGCAAAGAAAAGTTAAGTACAAGGTCCAGTTTCAAATCCCTTCCAAATGAGGAAGCCAGATATATTAGTCTGTTCTCGTGATGCTAATAAAGACATACCAGAGATTAGGTAATTTATAGAGGAAAGAGGTTAAATAGACACATAGTTCCACTTGGCTGGGGAGGCCTCACAATCATGGCAGAAAGCAAAGGCAGAACAAAGTCACATCTCACATGGAGGCAAGCAAAGAGAGCATGTGCAGGGGAACTCCCCTTTATTAAACTATCAAGTCTCATGAGACTTATTCACCATCTTGAGAACAGCACAGGAAAGACCCACCCCTATGATTCACTTACTTCCTACTGGGTCCCTTCTGCAACATGTGGGAATTATGGGAGCTACCATTCAAGATGAGATTTGGGTGCGGGGATAGCCAAACCATATGAACAGATTAGAATCCAAATAATCTGCCCCTATAGCTTCATTATTTGCCACAAGACATCATTTGAAAAAATAAATCTGTTTCAGGTCTATTATCAAAACAAAGTAATGGGATAATTGCTAGCTTAGGCCTGTCTGGTAACCTCTAGCCACACAAGGCTATTTAATTTTAAATTTGGGTTAATTAAAATGAAATAAAATTAGAAAATTGTTTTCTTAATTACACTAGCCATAGCTCAAGTTCTTAATAGCCATATGTGACTAATGACTATCTTTTGGATAATACAGATATAGAACATTTCTATCAATGGAGAAAGTTCTACTGGATAGCACCAGCTGAGGCTAAGGACCTGAAAGAAGAGTGGGATATACAGATGGTATAAGAGTGTAAGATGCAAGCATTCCTCTTGTTGGGGTCAGTGTTTAAAAAGATCTGAGGCTGAGAAATTACAGATGTGTTTAATAACAGCACATGGTTCAAATGGATGAATAAAAGTGAAATTGGTCCAAAGAAGGTGGCTAAGACCATTTTGGAGAACACTTAGAATACTTGGTGAGGAGTTAATTTTAACCAGAGTCCACTGGGGATTTCAGATTTCACCTAGTAGGGTGCTGGGCTTCTGGCCTCAGCAATAGGCAGTTTCTTTTCCCACATTGTTTTATTTATGGGCATCACATGACTAGAACTACTACTACTACTTCTTCTTCTTCTTCTTCTTCTTCTTCTTCTTCTTCTTCTTCTTCTTTTCTCTCTCTCTCTCTCTCTCACACACACACACACACACACACACACACACACACACACACACACACAGACAATTTAAGACCTGGGAGTCATTGAAGTTTAAACATGGGCTCCTGTGCAAATAATGGATTCAAGGAATGGAGATTAGTATCCAGGTGATGTTTCAGAAGGTTATGCTAGGCATCCAGAGAGAGATAGCCAGAGAGAGAGAGAGAGAGACAGACAGAAACAGAGAGAAAGAAAGATCCAATATTAAGGCCCTTGCAGAGGAAATGTATGACTTGGCATCATCATTAAATTGAATGATTTTTTTGGGGAAAACACAGCCTTCTAAAACAGATATGGTTCTATTAATTTTTTACTTCAACAGTTGTCATCCATCACCTTAAACACAGTCAAAATTCCTTTGCATTTCCTGCAAGAACCTTCACCCCATCCCTATCTTTTTGGCCTTGACTTCATTCTTTCTCTGTTCTGAATATAGCTGGATATTTTACAATTTCTGGGATGTGCCAAGCTTTCTCAGACTCTGCTTTTAGTTCTTCCACTTAGAATTTTTTTTTTTTTTCTGGCTGGCAGACTCTTCCTCTGCTTGAAGACCTGCCTAAAATGTGACCTTCTATTCATAGTCAGATTTATTGCATCTTTATTTGTTTCACCCTTTATTCATATTTTCTCTGTCAAGTTTTTGTGTTACTTCAGAATTGTTATTTTACTAAGGTTTATTTTCTCTCTCCCTGGCCTGACTGCGGGCTATGAGTAGCTGAGAGATCTTGGTGCTTAGCACAAAGTAAGCACTCAGATATTTTTCAGTTGCACTGAAACAGGAATAAAAAATACCTGAGAATTGAAACCTGCAGATTGAAGAACAAAGTTGACAATGAATCCGTTGCTGATGTTCCCTGATGCTACCTCTTTTATTGCCCTTCAATGAAATGCCTCTGTCTGTCTGAGGGCTCTGTCCTTAATCTCCCTTTGTGCTTTATTGTTAAGTGCCACATGAGATAAGCCAGGGACCGCAGGCTTGTCTGAGTTCAAAGCCAGGGTTTGTAATCACTGGACTCTACCACTGTATCTCTAGCTTGCCACCACTTGACTTGGACTTGGTTGGAACTGACCTATTCTGAGTCTGCTCACCAACCTATCAGCTATGCACAGTAAGGGGTGAATGCTGGTGATTAAAATGAGGTTACATTGTGGTTCTTGTAGCCACTGCTCATTTGTCTTCTACTTTCTCCCCTGAGATCTTGAATTATAAAAGTCATTTTGTTTAACTTGACAGTAGCCCTTAGTCATAAAAATGACATTGTGGGTCTAAAGCATCATCCCATTTAGGTGAGATGCTGGGCTGGGTTTGTAATACTGAGAAGAGGAAAAAAAAATCAGCAAGATAAATCATTTTAAGATTATAGTTCATTTAGGAGACATTTTTTACAAAGAAGGATTTCTAGAAATGTTTTACAGAGTTAGTTCAGAAGGAAAAATTAGGAAGTTTTTTTGGGTGGTAGGTATAGATTAATGAACTAAAATACCTAACCTACTTAGCACTCTGAATTTGGTTTTGAGGTAGAAGTCTTAGCTTTGCTATATGGTTTTTCTTTTCTTCCTGTTGTTCTCATGTCAGATACAGATAAAAGAAATGTGAACCTCTTGATGCAAAGTTGAGAGTAACATCACAATTCAGCAGCTTCTTCGAGCAGGAATTAGGTACCAAGCTCTAGTCCAAGTGCTATTGAGAGGGACCTCCAAATATGAGTAAAATATGATTCCTGCTTTGACTGAACTTAGTCTGTTGAGGGAGCCGTTCTGTCCCTGAATCTTAAACAACAAAGAATTGTGAGGGTGTGCGTATAACTCAAATAAAACCAATATTTATTCCTTAACTTTAGTCTTTACCATATGCTAAAATTTTAAAGATGAGGTCACACTGTGGGGATGTGGCTAAAAGAATTAGAAGCAGGACCTACTACTTGCAAGGACTATCACTAGAGAAGAGAATGTTAACTGAGAATGCCACAGAATATTCCAGTCTCTTTTTTGTTTGTTTGTTTGTTTGTTTTAACCAAGATTCTCTTGCCGGAACCCCACAGGTTTAGACTTAGGGAGCAGGTAAAAAGATGACTGTGAATTTGGGGATGGCAGTCTTATATGTGCGATACTCCAAAAAAGCATTTATTCACTTGCTTTATGCTTAGATATGGATGTCCATCAGTTTTCAATTAGTCAACATGCAAGCCTCTGCCAAGTGGACCAAAGTTCACAGTGTGCTCTGACGTAGTGTTACTAGGCAGGCCAGATTCTGCCCATTATGGGCAAAGGTGCCCCACATCTCAGGAGCCAGAGCAGCAAAATAGCACTATGTATTCTGGGAAAGGTTGCAGCCTACTTTGCATTCAGAAATTGAAGCTTTGCACTTGGGGGAAAAGATTCAAAGGAAACAAAACAGAATGAAATGGAAGCAAAATGTTGGCAAAACTCAAATTGCATTGGATTTATACTTATTGAATTTTTGAAGTAAGCTGACAAGAAAAATTACCTTCATTGCAAATCACTGAAGGGCTTTTCTATAGAATAAACACACTCACAGAGAAGAGCTAATTCAAAGGAAGCTTCAATATGTTAATATAATAATTAAGCAGTAAGGCACAACAGGTGGCCCATTTCCAAGTAGTGCAGCCTGCCTCAGGTGGAGTATAAGGTACCAGGCTGAAGGCTAAATGACTTTAACCACCTGAGATTGCCTATAATCATCTTAAAATATGATATGAAGTGTTGGAAGGTAGTTACCCATGCAAATAAGGGGAAGGAACCAAATTCCATGTATATTTTGGGCAGTCTTTAGGAGTTGAGTTATTGGAATCAGTCTGAAAACTTGGAAACTTAAGTGCCTTTAATTGGAGTCTACATTTTCCTGTGTTTTTGGTGGTCTTTTTTTCTTTCTGTGTATCTCATTCTCTCATCCTTTTATTTGAAACTTCCTCAGGGCAAAATTATTTTTTTGTTTGAAAAACTTGTCCATGTCATTTGGTTTATGAGTTATGTGTGTGCATAAGTGGTTTTTGCTTAAGTAGCTAATCAGCTTGGTACTTTGGTAGCTTCGTTTATCATGAAACAGATTAGAACAGTCTTTCTTAAACTTTACTGGGCTCAGTATTGTCTGGGATCTTATGACGCAGACTCTGATTCAGTAAGTATGGGGTGGAGCCTGAGATCTTGCATTTCTAAAAAGCTCCCTAGAGATTACAATGTAAACAGCAAAGTCTGTTATGTTTTTTAAATATCAGGGAGCCCTGTGATGATAGGAATGATAGGAATAGGGCTGTTAGGAATAGAAGGGAGGTGAAAAGACCAATGTTTTGAAGCAGTTGACTTTATTTTCTGCTTTTTGATTATTAATCTTATAAGGAAGAAATGACAGAAAATGAACCATGAGCTTGCTGGGGATTTATAGATAAACATATTTGTCTTATTTTGAGTCTGGTTGATACAGTTGAAGACAAGAGAATTCCATTTTGATACAAGTGTCACCAGAATGTCTCAAGCCAGTGGTGTATTACTACTTTGGGGCTCTGTTGGCAGTTCAAGTTTTGTTCAGGTAAGTGTTGACTAGAAATAGATCAAGAGAAGGTGAAACCTCTGCTTTTAACTAATTGGCCAGAATGGATTTTGTACATGGCTGCTGTCTGCAGACACTTGATGCTCTTCTGCCTTGTGGTGCTCTGTTAAACCTAAGGATTTCTTTGGATTCTACAAGTATTGTGAACGTGAGTTCTAGAAATCCACAGTAAATGAAACTGGTAAGAAAAATGAGACAAATGCAACTTTCCTGAATTCCTCATAAATGGAAACAAATGATGTTTCCCTTTGTCTGTTTATTTTGTTTTGTTTTTGTTTTTCCAAACAAGAAATGTCCGGGAGGGGAAGTGCTAAGTATCCTGAGCACTCAATGGGAAGCATTCTGAATCTCCAGCTTCTCACTGTGGCAATGTGGAATGCTGAATATTTATTTAGCACTAGCAATGGGTCTGTCAACGGAAAGTCCTAAGGAGGAATGATTCTTTCCTGTGGTGCTTTAAAAAATTTAATTGGCTTCTATTTTCAAGTTGACTCCAACCTCAATTGTGTTTCCTTAAAGCAGCAACAAGTATCTGGGAAACTAAATTGTGGTCTCCCATATTTGCTAACTGACTCTCAGAAATATTTCTAGGTGTTCTTTATCCTCTTTGCATCTGCTTGGTTAACTTCCTTGTTATTTTTCCTCTCATGGGTTATTGTCCTTGCAAGTGGTGGAGAATTCCAGGGAATGTTGTTCCCACCGTAGTCCATGAGAATGACACTCCCATGGAATTGTGCAGGCTACAGACTCTGTAGCCCTACACAAGGGCACTCTCCCTAATGGTGGCCTTTACCTTTTTAAGAGTGACCCTTGAACACTTTCCCTAAGGTTGTTACTATACAACTTACAAAAATTAATGCTTAATTAGCTCTCCATTCCCTTCAGGCCAAATACCTTCACATTGCAGGCAATCCTGGTCCTAATGACACTTGTAGTTTCATCTTCTGCCATCCTACCCAAGTCTAAGGTACGGGATTTCTAACCTGGCCCACACCTCTTCCTTTGCAAATCATTTCTCCAGCTGGGAACTTTAATCAAATGTATCTTTCTCTAGGATCCTTCTCTAATGTTTCTGAACAAAATTAATTGCCCATTTTATTTTGTTCCTCCATATTCTCCCCATTCATGCCTATATATCTGATTACATTGTATTGAAATTATATTTGTGGCTATTGTCCCTAAAAGCCAGTTCTATTTTTAATTTTCTCTTTTTGTAGGCCCAGAAGACAATTTGGCTTTGACATCTGACTTCTGAAGGTTGTCTTCACTAATCAGGCCAGTTAGTAGGTTGGGATTCCTTTCCTTACTTGACTCTTCTGCAGCTGACATTCTCTTATTCTGCATGGTGGGCTGCTGAGGGCAGCATTCTCAGAGAAAGGACAAAAAACAGGATATAGGACTGCTGTGACCCATTATCACAGCCTCCCCCTAAATCTTTCAAGTCCTCAAAGGTCATGTGACTTGGTACACGCCACATAATCACTATTATTGGTTATTTTGATGAGAATAATAATGCTCACATTTACTGAAGATAAGTTGTTAATACCAGGTATTAAGTATTTTTATGCATAATCTTCTTTAATCCTCATCCAGCCCCAGAGGCAAATATACCATGAAGCTAATGAAGTTTAAATTTCAAGGCTATTCACTTACAAGGACCCCTCCCAATGCTCTGTTTTTTAGTTCTCATTAAGAAAAAAAGGAGTATAATTCTGTTTCTCATTCTAAATGAACATTCTCTTCCATACCTAATTTCCTATTAATAATTTTGTATATACCTGTATTTTTTTCCTAAAAAGGCTTCTTCAAATGGCATAAGCCCCAAGTCCCACCAAACTAGATCTACCTTGCTTGGCTCTGTATATAGGGGTCTCCATACCCCAGGCCATGAACCGGTACCAGTCTGTGGCCTTTTAGGAACCAGGTTGCACAGCAGGAATGAGCAGAGGTGGGTGGGGTGGGCATTACCGCCTGAGCTCTGCCTCATGTCAGCCCATGGCTGCATTAGATTCTCATAGAAGTGCAAACCCTACTGTGAACTGTTCATGTGAGGAGTCTAGGGTGCACATTCCTTATGAGAATCTAATGTCTGATGATCTTCTGAGGTGGAGCAGTTTTACCATGAAGCCATCTGCTCTGGTCCATGGAAAAATCATCTTCTACAAAACTGGCCCCTGGTGTCAAAAAGGTTGGAGACCACTGCTCTGTGAGGTAGATACTATAAAACATCTATAAAATACCAAAAGTGTGTGTCTAGAAAAATTAATCAGAAAATGCAGGGTTGTATTATTGCAAAATTAATGAAAATAATGCTTTTTAGTTGGCCTGTTCTGTCACAAAAAGCAAAAAACTTGAGATGTTGAGATGTATATTAGAACAAGTGACCATATACTGACCTGAAAGAGTCTCAAGTGACCACAAGCAATCACTTATGCAACGCCAACCTTGTTTGACGAGCCTTCATTTGAGAATGGGAACTGGGTGACGACTGTTGACTAATCACCTACAAATGTAATGAAATATGATTTTTCATTTTACCAGAGTTTTACCTATTATGTGTGCTTATTTTGTATGTAATAACTAAGAATCAGAGAAGTTAAAATTACATAGTTAGTGATTAAGCTCAGATGAACACACATCTCTCTCTGGCATGTAAACTGAAGTCTGTCTCTATGTTTGCAGGTTGATTCAATATCTGAAATACAAGTGAATAGAGAACATAAAGATTGACTTCCTTCCAGTCTCTTTTGTTGCTTGCTTTAGAATGTCCTTATCCTAACTCTCTCCTCATGATAACCTGTTGAAGGTCATGGTGAAGAGGTTGAGACCTGTCTGACAACTTTTTTTACTCCCATGATCCTGTTTCAAACTTCCATTAAGACTTTGGAATTGGACTTGCTCATTTAATTATTGTAAGCCACGTTTCCAAAATTTATTAAAAATAAGACTTTGACCCATCTGGAGTCTGGCCTCCCCTGTCCTGATGCATGCTACAATTCTTTTGCTTTCTATTGTTTAGCCTGAGGCCTTTGGTCCTTTCTGTTTCCCTCCACTATTTTTCACCCTAGCTTTGCTTTGTAGGTTCTCTCCACAATGAATTTCTTTGACCTGGTTTCTGGAATATGACCTTGAAACTTCTTCTTACCCAAACACACATCTCTCTATAGCATCTTCATGGGCATCCTTTAACAGGAAGGAACTAGTAAAACTCATCTTTGGCAAGACCTGTGACACAAATTAGGTATAAATTAAAATATAGTAGGATTTTTTACCAGGAATAAGGCATTCCCTTTATGGATATCTCTTCTAAACCATAAATTAAACAGCCACCAATGAAAAAAATATTCCTTCTCAACCTTGTCTTGAAAAATCTAATATCTATGTCAGCACAGAGGCATTTTCTTTTCAGATAAACATTAATTGCCCTGAATTTTGATAAGTTTAATATTTTGATGGAAATAATCCTCAAATGTTATTTCTTTTCTGTCTTCTTTGGTGTGCTACACTGAAGAAACTTTTCTAACAATTTCTTAGTGACTCAGGATCACCACAGTGAACATCAGCTACCTTGTCTAGCAAAAACTTAAGAGATCCTCTTGCTATAGGGCATCTCTGTGTTAATGCAGAACAAAATATTTGTCGCTCATATTTATTGTATTGGTGTTCACACTTAGACTAGTGATTGAAGCTCCTAAACGAAATGACCCTAAAGTGCTATGCAACCAGTTGATATCACTGTTTTGTCTAATTTCTTCATCTTTTCTGAAGCTGTCAGCTGTTGTTTCTTGCTTTCCTCAGTAAGCCTGCCCTTAACAAAGGTTAGTCCTCTTCATCTAGAACAGCAGTTAACAGAAGCAACTTTGTCCCTTAGGGCACACTTTGTAAGTATGGAGACATTTTAAATTATCACTGTTTAATGGTGGGGAGGACATTACTGGCATCTAGTGGGTGGAGGTCAAGAATGCTGCTAAACCTCTGACAATGTGAAAGTCAGACCTCCACAACAGAGATTTATCTGGGTCAAAATGACAGTATTGCCAGGTTGACAAATACTGTTCTAGGATTATGGAAAAGTAAATAAATTCTAAAGGAAGACCCAGGAGGTTTGTTTAATGCTATTTTTAAAAAGTGTATAAAGGTGGCCCATGGTCATTGTGAAGGTCAGGGCCTAGTAGCTTCATTCATTTACTTCTGAAGAACAAACATGTTCTTGTGCATTGAGGACATTTGACCTCCAGCTGAATGAAGCATTAGTATTTGTCCTTAAGTTAACATTTTCAATACCTGTGTGCACATACAAACTACTTTCCTTTAAAGAAGATAAGGTTGCTTTTTTTTTTTCCTCTTCTGTTATTAGGTGGCTCAAATGTCATTGCTACATTAAAGAATATATCATTCCAGTTTAAACACCATAGATTATATGTAGTATGTTTCAAATTTCAATTTAAAACTACTTTTATGCTGACAGCAACCTAATTATTTAAATTGTAAGTTATTTTTTCATGTTGTGATTTGATAGTATGAAATTGGTGGACTGCTTACCAAATCCTCCCTACTTTTTTAAGCCACATTCTTTGGGAACATTATTTTGGCCTACAAAGGTATAAAATGTAAAACGTCTATAGTGACATAGGTACTTTAAAAGGATATTCTATTGAAAGTTAATTGGTTGTAATCTTTTTATTCTTCATCCCTTCTCATAGGTTTTCCAATAGTTAGAGGTCACTGACCCTGAGGAGAATTTTGCTGCCTAAGGTTTGGGCCTGCCTGAACTCTACAAAGTGCACAAGTTCTGACCTGTTCACATAATGGTTTTCAACTTAGGATATAACTCTTTTTATTTCAGTTGTAGAATAAAGACAAATTGCATTTTCTCAACTCCAGTCTAAATTCAGTGAAAAGTTATTGTGCTTTACTAGTTTGGGAAGAATAATTATATTATTTGAATTACTTTACACAGAGATGTAAATCATTTTCTATAATAATATATAGCATATATCTTACCAGATATCAATATATAGCAATGCACAAGATAGGGAAATACTTTTTTTAACAATGCATATTTGGCTAATTTGACTTAATTCCCATGCATTTTATCAATTATGTACATTTATTTAATGCATGAAAAGTGTAACAATTAATATTGAAGTGTAAATGAGTATGCATGTTCTTCCACTGTTTTATTCAAATGCGATGTGCCAAAATCAATTTGATATGAAATTCAGAGTGATAGATGAGAGTGATAAATTTAAGGGATGCACAGTACAATATGGAATTTTGTCAATCTCTAAGTTGCATTTCAAAAAAAAGTATATTACTTTTAATTATAGGGATCTCTTTCCAATCTTGATGCAATGAAATTGGTCAGATACTAAATGGGGGTGATACATTCAGAGAGAAAACTTAACCTATATAAACTGACTTTTGTGCAAATATTCATGCTATTTTGCTTGTTCATATGAAATTTAATGAAATTCTGAAAGAAAAAGTGATCCAATAAAACTTCAAATAATTTTTCAGAATTCTGGCTAGTTTTAAAAACTTACTGTTTCATAAGCATGTTTTCTAAGTTTTTATTTTCCTTTGGAAATTTACTGTAAAATTTTGCTCATATTTAAGATTTTTTAAAGGCTGCCTCAGTATTTTTGAATATTGTTTATTGTCATTTTTAAATGAAAACTGTTTCTTATTTGTCGTGACATTTATAATTTTAAAATAAGAAACAAATTATGTTTCTTGAGGTCTTAGAAATCATATTGTTGAATATAATAATACCATTGTTGAGTCCGCTAAGAACTAAGCAAAAGTAGAGAAAGGGTACAAGATCGTTCAGTATGATCTCTCCTCTGCTTAATATATCAAATTGCAGTTGCATATTAATAAAGTATTTTTAACTTAGAAAATATAAAGGTTTCATTTGAAAAGAAAATTGTCATTTTTGTCTGCTGAATTTTTTTTTTTTTTCCAGACTGAGTCTTGCTGTGTCACCCAGGCTGGAGTGCAGTGGCACGATCTCGGCTTACTGCAACCTCTGCCTCCTGGGTTCAAGCAGTTCTGTCTCACCCTCCCGAGTAGCTGGTACTACAGGCATGCACTCCCACACCCGGCTAATATTTGTTATTTTTAGTAAAGATGGGTTTCACAGTATTGGTCAGGCTGGTCTCAAACTCCTGACCTCAGTTGATCCACCAGCCTCGGCTTCCCAAAGTGCTGGGATTACAGGTGTAAGCCACCATGTCTGGCTGAAAATATTTCTAAAGATGAACTTTTCTGAAAAGATTAAAGAAGAATAAAAATAATTGATTGTTTTAAAATTCATTTTTAGAGAAAAAATGCATATTGTCTCACATGAAAGTTTTTCTTAGAAAATTGTACTTATATCTCAAAAATTATTCTTGTATGGAAACATTAACATATAAAGTATTAATACATGTAAAGTTTTCTTATAATTGTAGAGCCCAGTTTATTTTAAATAACTTTTCTTAAAATCCCACTCATCTTTATATACATTTTTAAGCAGTCAAAAACAAGACAATATTTCTTGGAACAAAGCTACAATACAGCTAGTTAAACTCAGCTCATACTGTGAATTAGACTTATTCCCAAAAGTGTCAAAATACAAAGTGCTGATATTTTAATGTGATGGTCAAAATCTTTGATCATCATTTGACTTTTCTATTCCCCTTTTCCTGATACATGTCTCTTTAACCACATATTTTGCTAATTTTTACACAGAAAAAAAACAGTTCTTTTTTCTAACTCTTCACTGTCACCAAGAAAGATATATCTAAATTTAACATAGCTAGAAAATATTGATATGAAATTAAAATACCATATTCTCTATTTATTCAAGTGATTTAGAACTTTCTCATTTTCTCACTACACTTAGATTTCACATTAGATAGATGGGGAGTCAATCTCTTTTAATTGTTCCTTTCAGTACTATAAGATGCAGATTGTCTGAGATAAGTTCTGAGCATGTGTTTCCACACAGGGCTTACCAAAAGTTTAAGATTCAGCCTAAAGAGTACAAATTTAGATGCCTTTATTAACTATAGCTGCAAACTCCACTGTGTAAAGTGAGTGCATTGCACATCTAGAAAAATCTGCTCTGAGCTTCCCTAAGACGATGCTGAAATGTTGCATTATAAATTCCAAAATAATTAATGAAGAACAACACTGGAGATGAAATGTATATGTGTGTGTATCACAGCTAACATGGCAACTGGAATACAAAGCCTTTTTTCTCACATTTTGCCAGCCATAGCATAAGCTTCCCACAGAGGATGGGGATTAACAGCCTATCTCCTTTGGGGTGGGGGGAGTTTGAGATGAATAAAATGTAGAATCTGCAAATGGAGCTCTGAAATAATGTAGTTAAAGTTACATATGTAGTCTATTATGGTAACTGGGAACATGTGTGTCATAATGTTGGGCAAACCTATTCTAAAAATGGGAGAGAATAGAACAAAAACTGACCCCCAAATTCTGCTCAAGCCCCATCATCCAAATGAGACTTTTAGGAAAGATTTGATAAGGTATCACCTTCCACCGTCAACCAAGCATATCCCTACCTTTTCTACCCATCTGCACTTAGCTCTCCCACTTTTTGGATATAGTTTTCAATTTTCAATTTGAATGACTAATTTTCCCTATCATGCTGGAGTGCCAGTGTGTCTTTAAGTACTAGACTTTTCCAAACCCACGGATATCTTTAAATATCATGATCTTGAAATATTTCCCAAGAAGAAATGAAGGAAATGCTCTGACACAAGGACCTGAGAGAATCTAGGGGATTGGCAGACATCAAGTCAAAAGCCTTAGATTTAAGGAGACCTGACCATGCATTTGGCATCTTGATCACTTACATCACTGGTTAAAACCTCTGATGCTGTTTGTGTTCAGGTATTCGGAGGCCTTTCTGAAATCATTTGAGAGGGAACATAATGGGCAAAGGGGAATAAGCACACATGTGAAAATGATAGCTCAGTTCCATCTAAAGAGTGAGGAAGTGCAGAGTAGAAAATAAGTGTTGAAAAATTAGAGCACAGAAGTTTAATTAGACCAAGTACTCAAAGAAGGAAGGAAGCAAACGTTTTAAAAATCTGAGTGGGAGAAAACATGGCAGATTGTACACGTTCTGAGTACGGAGGCACTGATATAATGAAGTTAATTTGAAATTTGTCCAAATTTATTGACACTTTTGGGGTCTTCTGTTACTTTTTATTTTTCTCTCATTGATTTGATGATTTTGTTTGTTTAGACTTTTATTGATTTCTATTTATTATTCATCCTAGGATGTGAACATGTCTTGATACAATATACTTAAAAAAATTGTCATTAACCTCTTATTGGTGCTTTTGTAAACTGCTGTGTTTTAACTTCGGTTTTTGGGCACACCACCCCTATTAATTCGTTAGGGATTCCAGAATGCTGGCTCATCAGCGGAAGTGCTTTTGAATTGAGAGGAGTAGGGTGACAAAAGGCAAAAGTATAGTCTGTAGTCAGTGTTTAGGTAGAAAGTTAGGTAGATGGTGAGCACATGATACTCTGGGATTGTTCTCCCTGTCACATGCTTCTCAAAAAGATAGAGAAGAATAGGCAAATCACTACCTCTCCTCCTTCCTTACATTGCTACCCCAATAGCTCTAACAGACATGGAAATTTACAGGATAAATGCCAGGTAATACTTGCCAAGAGAAAAAAATAGAATTTCTAACTTTAAATCCAACTGGTTACTATGCCTTGCCAATCGTTTCTCTGAAATATCTTTATAGCATTTTTTATCTCTGTCATTCTTGTAGCTAAGTGCAGGCTTCCTTAACTTCCTACTCGCCATTTCCACTGCTTCTTTCTGCTACAGTAGTCCCCTTTCTTTGCTTCTTTGCCTCTTCTTGTTTTAATTCACTTTATGAACATTTGCCAATTTAATATTCCCATGAAACCTCTTCTGCAATGTAAAATGTCATATCCTTTCTCAAAAGTTTCAAAACTTTAACTAAACATCCTTTAGTGGATACTCTCAGTGCCCTCTCCTGATTTGGTTCTACTTCTTTTTTTTTTTTTTTTTTTTTTTTAAAAACAAACTTACCTCCTAAATGCTTACTTTTAGGCTCCCTTTTTCTAGCCAAATCGCTCCACTCTTTTCCAAACCCAATTCAGTGTCTCTCTCTCTCTCTCACCGTTGTTTTTTCTGGTCCTAGTCCTAATAAGCTTGCCTCCTCTGCTGTCTTGCATTCCGTGGGATTGTGATGTTCCAAGACACTATGTTCCATGAAGTCTTCCCTGATCCTTCCACTGAAGGAATCAATATTGAAATTTTTATATTTGTATATATTTGATGGCACATTTTTTTTCCTTTTATTTTTTTTAAGAGATAGAGTCTTGCTCTGTCACCCAGACTGGAGTGCAGTGGTGTGAGTATGGCTCACTGCAATCTCGACCTCCAGGGCTTAAGTGATCCTTCCACCTCAGCCTCCCAAGTAGCTGAGACCACAGGCTTGTGCTACCATGTCTGGCTAATATTTATTCTTTTTTTTAGAGACAGGGTCATCCTGTGTTGCTTAGGCTAATCTCAAACTCATGGGCTCACCATTCCTACCACATCAACCTCTCAAAGTGCTGGGATTTCAGGCATGAGCTTCTGCGCCCAGGCCGAACTCTTAACTTATGATATAGATCACATATACATCAGTGTGTGAATCTGCATTTTTATCTGCATCTATATCTGATGCATCTTTCTTTTTTTTTTTTTTTTTTTGTTTTTGAGACAGAGTTTTGCTCTTGTTACCCAGGCTGGAGTGCAATGGCACAATCTCGGCTCACCGCAACCTCCGCCTCCTGGGTTCAGGCAATTCTCCTGCCTCAGCCTCCCGAGTAGCTGGGATTACAGGCGTGCGCCACCATGCCCAGCTAATTTTTGTACTTTTAGTAGAGACGGGGTTTCACCATGTTGACCAGGATGGTCTCGATCTCTTGACCTCGTGATCCACCCGCCTCGGCCTCCCAAAGTGCTGGGATTACAGGCTTGAGCCACCGCGCCCGGCCCTGATGCATCTTTCTTAGCTCCATTATTCAATCCATGATCCTTAAGTGCATGGTTTGGCTAATATTTATCTTTATATTCATATGACTCCTAGCACACTGTGTGACTCATAAAAGCTCTCAAATATCTGTAGCATGGGTTAATAATATGCTTAAGAGCTTTCATCAATTGTTCGAGGTGAAATTAATGTTACTTGCAGTTGTATGTAGTAAGAGAAACAACTGGTCATTTTAATATCATGTAGATGAAAAAAATGAAAAAGTAAATATTTATACCATGTAATCACACAAGATATTTATAGCTAGTAGGTACTCAAATAATTAAGGACCAATGAATTTGGCTTTAGTTAGCTGACTTAACACCACTCTTCCCCCTTTTTATATAAATGGAGACTAAAATTTTCATAAATGGTAATCATTTTGTCCTATTGAAAATATATTTGAGTCTATGCTTGTCAAAATGAACGTTTGAAAAATGTTTTCTAAAATGAGGCAATGATGTCTTTCACATGAATAGATGTCAAAAAACAGATACGGCTAATTTTGTGATTTATTTCACAGGTTAAAAACTATTTTCATGTATATTTGTTGATTAATTTATTTTTCCAATTAACACTATGAGATGTGTGAAATTAATTTATTTTACATGCCAGGCACAGTGGCTCATACCTGTACTCCCACTACTTTGGGAGGCCAAGGTGGGTGGATCACCTGGAGTCAGGAGTTCAAGACCAACCTGGTCAACATGGTGAAATCCTGTCTCTACTAAAAATACAAAAAATTAGCCAGGTGTGGTGTAGGCACCTGTAACCCCAGCTACTTGAGAGGAGAATTGCTTGAAATCAAGAGGCAGAGGTGAGTATAATCTTTTAGAACATGGATATATCCAGCACAGAGTTGTATTTGATGAGTGAATAGCAGTAGACTGTTTATGTTATGATTATGTAGACTCTTAAAATATAGAATTACCTAAAGGCAATTTTATTCATACAAATCTTGTATTGTGAATGACATACTTTTCCTTTTGGACCCAGTCATCTTTCTAGATCTTTTTACTTCTGATACTGAGAATAAGCTATTGAAATAATGTGTAGAATTCTTACAGATATATGACTGATAAATTCATAAATTTTTCTAGAAGATAAGTTTGAATGGTAACATTGCAGTGGTAACACTCTAACAGTAACACTGGAGTAATAAATTATTCCTGATTTGCTGTCAATTATGTGATAATTTGTTAATGGTCATATCTAAACGCTTCCCTTACTTTTTTGTATGTGTTTAAATTTAAAATAGCAGTGAAAACACTCTGGGCTATATGCATTTCCGCATGTTTATTATACCTCACAGGTGGTTAAATCTACTTTAACTGCCTTTATCTCTGCACTCCATAGCTCACCCACAGTTTCGACCACGTTAACTTTTAAATGGAGGGGGTTTTATTGAATTTTAATTAAGGACACTGTTAAGATATTGTTGCTTTAAATTTAGCAAACTAGAATGACATTCATGTTTTAACAAAATAAATAAAAAGATCTCTGGAGGGTAGCACAGAATGCAAGTCACAAACTGAACATTTATTTACAGATATTGATTAAATTTCTAGTATGTTTTAGGAGCTGAACTTTGAGTGGAAAGCCAAGATGTGGTTCTCAGTCCTGTATATGATTCTACATTCTCTTAAAACAAAGAAAAATAGACATTTAGTACCTTGGATCTCAAATTTACAAAAGGGAAATAACTAAGTTGATAATTTTTAAGCACGGAATATTTTATAGGTGTCATTTAATACTTTTCTATTAACAGGAATATGTAACTACTTTTTCCCTTGCTTAGAAGAACATTTCATTCATTAAGATTGTGAAAACTCTTCAGTTTTGCAGATATTAGCATTTTCTAGAATGAAGCTCTCTTTCCAACATTTTCTAGATCATAACGTGTTGATAGTTTTCTTTCTATTACCTGTTGATCGAAATAATCCATAGTAGTGGAAAGGCGATTAAAATTTACTAGTAGTGAATTTATGTTTTATCAAATCCAACAGATTCTGCATATATTTGAAAAATAGTTAATATGCATGAATGATATGCCATTTCTTTAATCCATGGTGTTTTGTTCCCAGTGACCCACTGAAATAATGGACTTTTCAATGGAAGTGAATATGCTAATTATCACTACTGTGGGAAATATAGTTCATGACTGTCTCACTTTTTTGAGGGGGCTTTAAAGCTCTTTTGATTGGATGCAGTTTGGCCTGAAGGTCACTTTGGAATCAGACAAACCTGGGTTCTGGTTTTGGCCAAGCACTTACTGGCTGCATAATAAATGACAAGTCATAATAATTCCCTAAGTCTCAATTTTCTCATATGTAAATTGGCAATATTGATAACACCTACTTCAGAGGATTGATGTGAAGGTCAAGTTATATTATAAATATGTAAAATGACATGTATACTTCCTGGCACAGGCTATGCATTTAGGGATGTTATGTTACCATCTTTATATTATTGCTGTTCTTGCGTTATTCAAGGCCTAAACTGCACTATACAATAGTGTTGTTCTCCTATGATAAGGGTTAGTATCTATACTAGTTATTCAATGAGATCATGTCTATAATATGCTGAAAACATGAAAAGGTGAATAATGCAATTAGTTAAAATGTTTACTGATCTCCATTTGTACTTCTTTTGTTATGCAGTCTTCAAGATTGTTTTGGCTCTAGCAAAACAAGTTGGAACATTCACATCATCCAGTAAGTTAAAATTCATTCAACATTTTTAAGCATATGCCATATGATAATTTTAGGAAAGAACAATAGTGCATCTAAAATTAAGCTAGCAGTGAAAGACTGAAGTCTCTTCTGAGAACATTAGAGAGTGCATATTTAAGAGATATTAACCAAACTATAGATTATTTTCCCTCATTGATTAATTTCTCACAGGCTACTACTTATATAATTATGAGGTTTATACTTTTAAAATATTTTAAGGTTGTCTAAGATAGTATCTGTACCTCCTTATATATATGCCTAGCTTGCCGTGGAGCTGGATGAGCCCAACAGGATTCAAATGGAAACCATTAGTTCTACAAACAACTGTGGAAGTGGCCTAGTTCACTCTGGAACACTGTCCTTCATTTTACGATTGATGAAATTCAGTGTATACAGTGTCTGTGGGACAACTTTAATGGTGATTTTGAAGGGAAGCTGATATTTCTGGGTCTATAGCATGTTTTGGCCATGCTTCCAAGTGTAGGAAATCAGGGGGCTTGTATTCTGTCTGCTGTGGCTGTGCTTACATAAGCCCATCAGGCGAACACAGGAAAGCACCAAGTCCAGCATTAGGAAACACATGGATTCAATGAATTAGTCATGGTGATCACAAAAATTAGAATTCTCATACACTGATGGTGGGAATGTGAAATGGGACAGCCACTTTGGAAACTGGCTGGTAGTTTCTCAAAAGATTTAAAATAGAGCTACCATAGGACCCAGTAGTTGTCTATGTAACACTCTTAGCTGTATACACAAAATAAATGAAAACATATGTCTGCAGAAAAATTAGTGCATAAATGTTCATAGCAGCATTATTTGTAGTAGCCAAAAGTGGAAACAACATGAATGTTCATCAGATGATGAATGAATAAATTAAATGTGATATATTCATACAGTGGAATATTACATAGTCATAGAACAGATGAAGTGGTGATATATACTACCATATAGATAAAACTTAAAATATTCTTCCAAGTGAAAGAAACCAGTCACAAGAGACAGTATACTGTAAGGTTCCATATATGTGAAATATCCAGAATAAGTAAACTCATAAATACAGAAAGCAAATTAGATATTACCTAGGCCTGAGTTAGGATGAGGGGGGGAGGAAACGGGGAATGACTTCTGGTAAATACAGAGTTTCTTTTTGAGATGACGAAAAAGGTCTAAATTTGATTGTAAAGCTGGTTTCACAACTATGTGAGTATACTAAAAAACATTGAATTATATCCTTTAAATGGCTAAATTGTAGGATAAGTAAGTTGTATCTCAATAAGGCTGTTATATGAGAAGAAAGTGAGTATTCTATCTTGCTGGCTCACAAATATTATGATCAGTTTCATAAACCAGACTATCTTGAATACTTTTCAGGTTTCAAGTTCAGAGTAGTTAAAATAGGCATTTTCAAGAACAGTATTCATTGAAATGCATCAAAGCATAAGTGCAGTCCCCAAAGAAACACTTTAACTCATGAGCTTAAATAATAACTGAATTTAATTCATTCCAGGTACAGTCTCATTAAAGAAACTGCTGTCCAAAATGTTGAAATAAGCATTTAGCTACTAAGCGAACAAATTAAACTCCTTTATGATTTAATTGCACCAGTGAGTATTTCTTTTTGGAATGTGTTTCTGCTTTGATACATTGCAATACACATCATGAATTATGTTGAATGATGGCATTTCAGAATGTGTGTGAGTATGTATATGCATATGTATTTTCAAAATGCATTTAAAATGTTATTTAAAATATGTATTCATGTGTACATATGAACATTCCAATTTCTATGTTTATGTGTATGTACACAATACAGAAAGACATATTCCCATAAGTCCCAAGCAATATAGTCATATTGTAGGGTATATATTTGCCAACTAGTTGCAAGCATTAACAGAAATATTCTCTCTGCCTCCTCTTCTCTCTACTCTTTCTATACACATATGTGAATATACAAATATTTGATAATGTTTATTTATCATGTGATAGACCCACAATATTTGTAGGTGGATATTTTGATTGTCATGCATATTTTGAACCACTGGAGCTATTTTGAGGAATTTTTAGAGATTTGAAAATATACAGCATTTCACTGCTAGATGCATGCAGATTCATGGCAGTGATTATAGAAAGGAATGACTATTAAAAAAACAAAACAAAAAACCCACAATTCAGTCCAAATCTTTTCCTACTCCTTCAAATCTCAGTGCTATGCTTTTCAGCTAGTTCATTCTTTGTCATTGAATTCTTTCAAAGTGTTAATTTGAAAAGTCAAAGATTTCTCCTGTCCTCTTGATAATCTAATGAGAAATGAGAATTTACCTTCCAAAAGATTATTTATTTGAAAAGTATCTGAAGTATTAAAAATTTATTTCACACGCACACAAAATAGTACCTCTACATTTTTTTTTCCTTGGCTTATTTTAGCCCTAACCAACCTGGCTGTATGTTTATTAAGTATGTTAAAAAGTGGTCCGAAGACTCGCATATATCACCACCCCTTTTACCTACAGATGAAAATCACCATTTTGATTATTTTCCTCTTACCTCTCCTGAAACATCCACTTACCTCTGCTACTCACAAACACTCAGAGATAATTATTATAATTATTCACTTTCTGACAAACGTGTGCATGCATCACTTTCCTATACCTTTGAGTAAGACCTGACTGTATGTGTGAAATGGTAAAATATGCTGCTGAAATATGCGGTGAGGCAGGATTTTTAAAATAGTGTTGAAGCAGAGATGTGGTGGCAGATCCCTTTCTGCCTCATAGGAGTTTTGTTTTCATCAGTTTGTGCCATATAGAGCACAAAGGGACAAAATGCAGATTAGAAAAAAAGAAGAGTCTACCTTGTCAATGTGAGACACAGAAAGCCTGAGCAAGTAGATACATTACACAGATTCCAAGCTAAGGAGCCATAGATAGTTCAAGGAGAAGGACAGTGTCCTGCGGACCAATTAAGTTATAGAACGTATTAGAGGAAAGTTGATCTCATTAAATATACCATGGTGGACTTGGTATTTAATAAAATGTGACCACTAGAAAGTATACAAATTTCCTATAAATAAGAACATGTGGTACACAAGAACAGTGCCTATTGGTGAGGGTCAAGAATATAGCAGGCAGCTAGGTGCGGTGGCTCATGCCTATAATCCCAGCACTTTGGAAGGCTAAGGTGGACGGATCACCTGAATCAGGAGTTTGAGACCAGTCTGGCCAACATGATGAAACTCCGTCTCTACTAAAAATACAAAAATTAGCCAGGTGTGGTGGCACAGACCTGTAGTTCCAGCTACTCAGGAGACTGAGGAAGGAGAATTGCTTGAACCTGGGAAGCAGAGGTTGCCATCAGCTGAGATTGCCCCATGTCACTGCACTCTAGCCTTTTGGGTGACAGAGTGAGACTCTGTCTCAAAAAAAAAAAAAAAGAAAAGAAATAGTAGCAGGTTCATAGAGTAGGAGGATCCAAAGTGGTTGAACCCAGAAAAGCACTGATGTTCAGCCTGCAATGAGTCTTAACAGCATTCATGTCCAGTACTGAGAGACTATCAGAGTATTGCTGAAAGCAGTTAACACTGTTTCACAGTTATTTACTAAGACCTGAGATTCATTAAAGGGGCCTCATAGTATTTAGTTTGATATCTATAGTCATTAATGAACTTCCTGAACATGATACATAAACATGGAACCAGTAAGTACAATCTGCTGATTGTCCCATTTGAGCTTTGGATACAACATTCCTTGAGAAATTTCCTAGGTTTTCCCAATTCATTTAGTCCTAACTAGTACTCATTTTGCCATCACTTCTAATCTTCACTTAGAATAGAATATGAGGAGGCAACACCTGACAGTCTAAGGATTCATTGAATAACAAATATTGATATCTTAGAGAAAACTAATGATGTGAGAACTCCCCTTCACTTTTGACATGATGGGTCAGAGAGAATTACTTACATGTCCCTTGTTGTGACCCTTCCCACTTCCTAGTTTCCATTCACAGGGGAGTTCTTTTGTATCTTAAAATCAGGGGTTGTGAGGCATTTTAGCTCATACTTAGTTTTCTGTGGTACATTCTTCATGACATTGCCTGTGAGGTACCCCTCAACTGACTTTTCCAGAAATTTCCCTCCACTCTCCCCCTCTCTTCTACATGGCTGCAGCTTAATAGTGTACTAGTCCAGGGATAAGAACTTGTACTATGAAATTCCTGTCTGGAGATTTGGAGCCTCAGGTGGCTGGACTAATATGGCTTATATTTCCTCTACTGTCATAAAGGTAGACCATATGGTCTAAGAAGTAGAGGAAAGCTCAAATGCAGAGAACTGAACATATGTCAAAGAAGAGAGGAGAGATGGGGCAGAGAAGACAGACTTCATCTTTGTAAGTTCTTGACTGCATCTTTTCCCTGAGACCTGGCCACATCCCTACCTCTAGATTTCACGAGACAGTCAAAAGTATATTTTTACCATAAATTTTCTTTTTGCACAACATCACTAAGTTTATATTTCTAGTAGTTAACCACAGTGATTTAACTAATTTTCCTTTGTGTAACTTAATTATCATACCTTTCCTTTTCAGTCGATCCAGTATGCATATCCCAGACTTCTGTGACTGTTTTCTTAGTAAAGGCCCTCAAAAGCTCTGAGAAAACTGGTCACCACTGATCAGTATGCCTGGTTTCTTGATGTCTTACAGGAGACTCAGACTTTGTGATCAATGACCAGGAGCAGATGAACATCTAACTGGCATGTACCATGAGGTGATAGCATTATTTCAGTGTTAAGGAGACTGAGCAATGGATGTATTATGTATATAAATGTTACCCTTTTAATTCTAAGGTAAATAGCAGTTAGGGTAATTAGTGATATCTTCACTACTGGCATGTACCATGGAAGTGTTACCTTAGGGACTTGGAAATATTATTTAGGCCCAGAAAAGCTATGAAAGTACTTAAAGACAGAAGTGGGGGAAGAAAAC